ATGTTCTGCCACCAGGGTCGACATAAAACCGATCATTTAGGAGGCGGGCGGCAACATCCCTGCCTATCAGTGCCCGCCGCGGATCACTGTGGTACCACGCCTTCGCTGACTGAAATACTCGATAGGAACAAAGATACCCCCCCCCCCCCCGGGGCGGTGCTACTGACTGAAATGTCTTTAGGCCATTTCCAAATGGGGGGACATCATTAACATGCTCTTATGCACAGTAGAATTGTAAGTGGACCTATTTATCAATGCCATGCTCATAACTATTCCTGAACTGCAACAGGAAACTTCTGCTTTTTCTTTCCTATTCCGTACTTTCATCATTTCTTTCCCTCTACTTGTTTAGTATGTTTATCACACTCTTGTGACCCGCTATTTCTGGGGTGCCTTGATAGTCCAAGCAGACTGTGTGCTGTTGAGGCTAGAGAGGTGAGCTGAGTAAGCCCGATTCTCTGTAAGGACTTGGCGCTCCTATGACCTTATACCGTTGCGAGAGCCGGAAAACCTCTGCTAAAACAAAAAAACAAAAGATACTGCCTCACTCGGGAATTGAACTCGCATCTTCCGCGCCGGATGCTGAAGGCTCATCTATTGCGCTTGCAAATGCTGGCAATGATTTTTTTAAAAACTCTTTCAAAAAAATGGTTTCTCCAAGAGTTTTACGATACTTGCAACACAATAAAGAGTCATATACATGTAGAAGATTCATCTATTGCCCTTATCTCTCCTGTTTCTTTTCTTGGTATGTTACTCTTTGGAAACACCTGTATTCTTGTGCCCTTGTATGACCTATGTGTGCTGCTAGTGCCGTAAAACTCTTACTTAGACGAAAGAAAGAATCTGGAAGGGCATAGTAGGCTGCAGGTGGCGTCTGTTCTTAAAGGAGGTTAAAGTTCACTTTTACTTACCTTTACTTTTTTAAAAACATTTTCCTCCTCTGTTGCCGTTAAGCGTCGAGGGGAGATGCAGTTTTCTATGGTAGGCCAGCTCCGCAGCTCTTTCAGTTGTGATGTTATGTTTTCATAGGGTTTCCTTGACACCATCGATCCACTTTTACTGGAGCATAATTATGTTGGTGTGTTTGTGAATGTTTGTGTGTGTGAGTGTATGTGTGTATGCTTGTGTGTGTGTGTGTGTGTGTGTGTGTGTGTGTG